CTGGAGATAGCACAAGTTTTTAGTATTCGTTAAGGTATAAATACACAAAAGTGAGCCCCACATCTTTGGCATCTTGGAGAACATTAATCATTCCTCAACATTTGGCACATTTGTGATCTGCACCTATTTTAGTTCCTGCCCTACTGTGGTGACGATGTCCAGTTTTCCCAGAGGCCTCCCTACGGAGCAGACTGTGCGTGAGGTCTGTGAGGGAAAGCAGTGCAGAAGAAGAGTGCAGCTGGAAGGAAAATGAGGCAGAGCTTGCTGATTTTATGCAGAACCCAAAGGTGTCATTTCTGTGGCCAAGATAGATGTCAGACAGGACTTTGAGGCTATACTCATCATCACTTGGTGCAGCAGAGTGTGTTTTCTAGGTCCAAAATTCCCCGTTTTCCCAGTCCCCTGTTTGGCCTTCCCGGAATAGAAGCTTCAGCAGGAGGAGGTTCCTTCAGCCGGGCTGTTCTCCCTCCCTCTGGCTCCGAGTGTCGGTCCCTTTGGTTTTCCCCTGAAGCCCAGCCTGGCTCCAGGGCTCTGGCAGTGAGGAGCTCTGCAGCAAACGCTGCTGATCTGACCTCTGCAGGCTGCTTTGGGGCTGGGAGCACAGACCTGCCCTCAGCGGCCCCGCTGGAAAGCGGCAATTTCCAAACGTGTTGGATCGTTTGTGACAAAAACAGCAGCAAAAAGGCCTCTCAGTAGTCACCATGCCTTCAAAACACCCTCAGATCCTGGCAATGTATTGGGCACATCTTTCCTGCTGTAACATTTTACTGCAGAAAATCTTGCCTGAGACCCTTTTTATACCATTTTGCCTGCCTCCTGTTAGGTGATCAACATTCTCATCTTCCATCTGCCGGAGAGGCCCCTTGGAAGGGATTCACCTCCACCAGGCAGCTGTAAGCAGGGAAGAGGATCAAAGAACATGAAGCTGACCTGCAGCAGGGTCTCACATAGATCAAAGGGTACATCCATGGTCAGAGCCTTCCTCCTGTGACTTCCTCGAGAGACAACTTGGCAGGAGTGTGGCCCTGTCTTCACCACAGCCCCATCTGTGGGTGTTTGAATGGTTTATCTGTTGGAGAGGAAGACATGGGTGCTGTGCACATGCTGGATATCTGTGTTATGATCCTTACAATAAGCTCTTTTTTGGGATGAGGCGTGTCATGATGATCTCTGAACAAGCAGCCAATGCTGCAAGCAGAGGAAGTGATTTCAGACCTCAGGCAAACATAATCATTCTGCTCTTTTCCTCTGGACTGCCCCCTCCTCTTCCTCAGCACTGCAGTTTTATCTGAAATTGATGATCATGCTCCAGGAAAGCGAGGCTATGCCAGGGCTCTGCTCGCCAGTGTCCAGACAAGAACCCTCCTGCTCTGCCTTGTCAGCCCCCTTTTTCCACTGACCAATGTCACAGGCTCAGGATTCCAGCGTTTATCCGGCAGCATGATTTGCTTGCCAGCAGTTCTGATTAGCAATGATAGGAAACTAAATTTATTGTGTCTAAAAATGCAATTAAGATGTCTCAAGACTGGAAATTCTGTGTGATTTTGCCAGGTTTTAATAGCAACTTTAAGGTTTTGGCTCACAGCCCAAACTCTGCTTTGGCTGCTGTGCTGTGGGGATGTTGCAATGGGTCTTGCAGCATCCCGGGTGCTGCTGGCACGGTCCTGCAGCAGGTCAGGATGTGTCCAGTTGCTCGGGTTCCCCAGTGCTGCTGTAACATTCATTTCTTTCCAGCTCTCATGTTTTCACACGGGAGCCTTTGGTGACTTTGGCAGTGCAGAAGGGACATCTAGTGGGCTGATAGGAGAGTGGGGACAGTGCCTGTTCAAGGCAGCAGGAGAGAGCCAATTTCCAGTTAGAGATTGGACTCTGGGGAACCCTTGAGCATTACAGCACCAAATTATATTTAAACATTTCAGTGTACAGAATTGGCCTGTGTGTCTGGAGTCTTGAAATTCCAAAAAGTGAAGTTTTTAAAAATATTCCTGGCACTTTTAAGTGGTGTCAGAAAGCAGAAGAGTGTATGGAAGCAGTCAGGTTTGGTGCAGTTTTTGAGTGGAACTGGAAAGTTTTCTCTTTACTGACTCAACTTCCCAAGCCTGCAGCCACTGTTAGTATGAACTGCTTTGTGTAATGTTGTGCCTAATGACCCTTAGATGACAAAGCTGGGACAAAAATCATGACTGATGCTGTTGGCTTCCATTGCTCAATTCAGTAAAATAGGTCTGTGCCCAGTGGTTCCAGGACAGTGGGGAGGGAAGGTGAAGCTCTGTCCTCTGTGGCAGTTACAGCATGCACGTGACAGGAGAGGGGAATGGCTTTATTCGTACCACTGATATTTGCTGGCCTGCCACACATCTCCAGTATCCAATCTGCAGTATTAGGATTATTTTAAGCCCTGTGTGAGGAAAGATTGTGAAACTCATGCGAGTGTACATTGTTCTTTGAATTAAAAGCAGACTTTCACTGAGGTACTTGGGTGTATGGGTCCCTCTGAACTTTTTGCAGAAAGATGTATGGGATTGTTTTGTGACAAATATACAGAAGAGTATAGAATAAGTGGACAGGAAAGTTCTGCTGGGTACCCCAGACCTACTTTCTCATTTTTCCTCTAATCCAGCTTGCCCACTGCTGCCCCGTTTCCATGGCATGCGTTTCCGGCTTGCGAAGGTTCCTGCTTCAGGCTGAGAATAGAAGCCTTGCTGTTATGCTGTCCTTAAATCTCTCATAATGAGTGTTGCACCAAGGAAAGCAGCTGTGTCCTTTGGCTCTAGTTTTAATTCTATGTTAAAGAGCAGATTATGGTGACGTTGGACGGCAGCGATGCGGAGGTAGCACAAACCAAGACCAGTTTGGGGAAGGCTTTAGCAAGGATGACTAAGGACTTGGAGCTTATGCTTTAGATAACAAATCCACCCAATTGTGCTCCTTTGGAAATGTAGTCAAGCCTAACAAATCAGGGCCTTAACAGAGTTGCATTAGGGTCATTTAATTGGACTAAGCTGGTTAATACCCACATTGGCTTTTGTATGCCATGAGGTCCAGCACAGGAATGGTTTGCTGTTTATGCTGGCAAAATCTCATAAAATTGCAACCATGAACATTGATAAAATTAAATTATAATGTCCTCACAGGTAGAAAATGGATTAAGGTATTTTGATTATTATAAGGAAGTTGAATGTTACTGTTTTCCCTCAGTCTGGCTAGTGTGCCACAAGTCATGGCTCTGTCCAGGGTTCAGGGTGTGCCAGGCCACACAGCACAGCAGGAACAGCAGGGCTGCACAAGACCTCAGCCTCTGTGGGATGACCTCCAGTTTCTGGAGAGGGGGGGGTTTGTCATTCTCATTCTGTTTCATGAAAGCTGAGCAGGTCCAGGTCCTTCAGGTAGTCCTAGAAACCATAAATTACCATGGATTAGGTTTGTTTTCCAGGTGTTGTGAAGTGTTGCACTACTCGACTTAGAGCAGTGCCTGGCTCAGAACGGTGCTTTGTTGCCATGTTAATTGTGCAATGATTCATAGGTATTTGCTGGGGTTTGGAAAAGGTGGATTGTTGAGAGCATAATTCGCACAGGTGAGGAAGAAATATTCTGAGCAGAAAGATTCTGCACACATCAGTGTTTGGTTACGTCCCCTGACAGCAAAACCAGAGTCTAAGGAGACAGAAATGAGTTCCAGATGGTTGTGGTAACTGGAAAGAAACTAATACTGAGGCTGATCTTGAGAAAACAGACAGGACAGCAGAGATGAAAGAGGGGGCAGGGTGGTCCAGATAAGGTTGATAACACATGATATATCATCTTTGGAGCATTCCAAGGCAGGACATTGAGATGAACCGTTTGTTCCTGAACTGTAGAGTCTGGGTGGTGGAAAGGCTCTTGCTGTGGCTGTTCTGCTTCTGCACTGAAGGTAATACCCCTGCAGTAACTATCCCATTTCCATGCACAAATCCCACCAGCCTCTGCTGCCCTGCAAGGATGCTGGGATAATGCAGATTACTCTGTAAGATTGCTCCTGTTTTCTGCATCTGTAGCCTAGGTTTGTCTGCACCAATTCCTTGCTATCTTGCGTATTTCTTGTTTAAACTAGGAATTTGTCTGGCATCTTACCTGTGTTCTATTTTTAGTTGTTAGTGAAGGGTGAGGCAATGTACTTAATTCTCATTACAGTTACTTTAATCCAATTGTGATGTGGATTTAGAGAGACTTAGTAGGTCTCAGCTGAGTATGGTCTGTCTTTTTTCAGTTACTGTCATTAAACAATGCACACTGATAACATTTTCCACTTCTAAAACTGAACCCATGTAGCCAAAGGTGGTGTGATTTGGTGCCTGTGTTTTGCACCTCTGTTGATCTCTGTAACTGTTCCTCAGTTGGGAAGAGGGTTCCTGTGTGTTTTGTGAGCTCCCCTGTCCTGTGGGATCACCCACCTCATGATGAGACAGCAGTAAAGACTATTGTGGACTAACTCTGCTTTTTGGGGTTAACAGAGTGCTTTTGTCTTATTTCTCTTTGAACAAAGCAGCTTCTCTCAGGAAACCGCGTTCGATCTTGCTGTGGAGTTTGTAAATACGAGCCGATACAGCACGCTGCATCCTCCTAACAGCCTCGGTCCCGAGCCAGTTCTGAGCGCTGTCCCGGCTGTGGGGCTCCCCCAGGTGTGTTTTGTGCATTACGGAGCGGCAGAGAGACCCGGCCGGCCCCGTTCCCCGGCAGCCCCGGGCGCTGCAGCGCCCTCAGTCCGCTCCGCGCGATCCAGGCAGGCTTTGCCGGCGCTCCCGGCGAAGGGCTGCGGGCTCTGGGCTCTGGGCTCGGGGCTCGGGCTCTGCCGCTGGGCTCTGTCCGCGGGCTCGGTGCTGCTGCGGCCCGGGGAGCGCTGCCCGAGCGCCGGCCTGGGGAGAGCCCGCCCCGCACCGTGATGTGGCCGCAGGAGGGGCTTGTTGGGCTCCAGCTCCTGTCTCTCCCCGGAGGGGTTTAGAACGGCCACTCTTACACTTGTCATGGAATTAAAGAAAACTACCTCCAAGCCGTACAATGCTGCTCTCCTGCTGCCACTTTTCCTCTTGTTTTGGGGTAAGTTTTTGTCTTCTGTGCCTGATTCTTACCCGGCTGCTATGCAGTAACTTTGCATCAAATCTGTGACCTGCTCTTATGTTGAACAAATTGGCATCTTGCAGTTAGATTTGTGGCCTGAAAACTTTTATCTGGAAGATAAATAGGCATTTTGTTCTAGACATGTTTTTCCTTCTATTTATTTCTTGTCTCTTTTCATCTTTCTCCCTTTGCACATATATGTATGCATTTATTCACAAGAACTAAAAGTAATTAAGCATTCATGTAATAAAGTATTCAGCTATTGTCTTAACCATTTTCTCCATTGGAAAGGTCTGAATATTTTGGTTGTGCCCACACAGAAGAAACACGGACCTTTATTTCCATCCTATATGCTCTAGAAACACATCTAGGCACAAGAGGATGGTACCCAGGGGAGCATAGTGCCCAGTACGTCTGGTACAAAATGTGCAGGGAGATCACAGGACAGGAGTGTCTTCACTTAGAAATTTTAAATAAAGCAGATCCATCCTCAAAATGCAAGAAGTAATGAGATAACAAAAAAGTCTGTCACACTGGTGGGGGGGTTGTTTTCTTTGGTGTTTTTTTTCCACATTGAAAACTTATTTTATAGCCAAAGAATCTACTTGAGTACACTGGGATTCTCCAAGTTCCCATGACCATATCTTTCAGTTCCATTGACACCCTTGTTTACAATATCTTATGTTCCCTGAAAAATAGGTATCTGTTTCTTCTGGAATAGGTGCCTAGAGATCTGCTGGGCCTAGACATCTGTTTTAGTCATCTAGGGATTATAAGGTCATGTCAGGAACACGTCCAGCCTTTTACTGGAAAGTATGATTGGAATTGAACTGGTCTCCTTATCCTGCCCGCGGCACTGCCAGGCCAGTTACCTGTACGTGCAAGTCAGGTTTGGTTTCCACTGAGCAAGTACAGGTATGATCCATGACGTGAAGAAATGGATGTAGAACGTGGAGGACATCGAGAAAATACAGTCACAGCCTCTTCTCTGTGTCTGTTGAACATGGCACTTGGCATTTTCTTGCATTAGTAGGTGATGTTTATGTAATTTTTGAGATTTGGAGAAAGTTTTCAGCTTTTCCTCTGACTCCCCAACAGTCTCGTTTTTTTCCTTCTGAAGCTTCCTAAGATTTCTGTTGCTCTGACTACCTCAGACCGTGAATGTGAAAATCAAAATATGTTGTGATTTTCCTTATTTTTTTTTCCCCATTCTCTTCCTTGTACCAGCTTCTTTGTCTGGTGCGTTTGCTCCAAGTGCCTGGAATTCCTCTGGCCACAGGGAAGCAGCAGGACTGTCTTTTGTATCTAGTAACCATAGCTACTGGTTTGGAGTGTGAAGCAGTTATAGTGGCTTTGTGCTGGGCAGAGGCAAGGCGGGCTGCATGGATGGATCGGCTGCCAACCGTGGCTCCGAGGGCTTGTGCTCTTTGCCCACTGCACTTGTGACTTTTCACTCCTGGAGAAAGCTCTTCTCTGGAGCACTGATTTAGTGGGAATGTGCCGTTCTTCTGAGTGCAGGTGGATGGCTCTTCTTGCTGGAGCCAGCAGAGCTCGAGGGAAGTGCTGATTTTCATAGTCTTTCCACTTACTTCCATTTTGCAAGGGCAATTCTGCCAGATTTTAACTGGAGTGAATGGTGCTATTAAGGCAGCACTTGTAGGTTTTTATGGCCATAAAGAAATGTCTTCTTGCCCTTGTAAACCATGTCACTACTTCTTTTATTTCTTATTGACTGAGTATAAATATCATTGAAGCAGAGAGTGCCGAAGCTACTTGTTCAAAATTTTTGTGGAAATTCTGAGAATGCAGTTGGCCTGCTGCAATCTTTACCCATCAGAGCATCCTGCAGGCAGATCCTCACTATCTCCAGTTGTTTAAAAGAAACCCCGGAGGGGCAACGGTGCAGCCTCTGCCTGTGACTCCCCTTTTACTGCTGCTTCCTGTGTGATGGGAACACAATAGAATAGCTCCCAGCTAATTCTTTGTCTTTAAAAGAGATTCTGGAGGGCACAAGGAGTGTCTTCTCACTTCTGTTCCCACAGCTCCAGCCATCAGCAGGCACAGGAATTCCCATACCTTTGGCCTGGAAGATGCTTTGGATGCCTGCTGAGGGAGAGCATGTGCAAGACAAACCTCCTTTGCTATCAGCTCTAATGCCAGCTCTTGAGATTAGCTCGGACATGGGGACATTTTAAGGCTTACTTCAAAATGGGGAACAAACGAAACCAATCTTTCCAGCTGTTTTGTTCATTGTCAGTATATTTAAATAAGAATTGGAAATTAAAGCCTGTGACTCACTCTGGTGAACTGAATACACAGGAAAGTCCCTGTCCCAGTGTTTGATCTGTGGAAATGGCTGAGAGATCAGAGAATATGTGAAACATGAAGGTCAGTTTGGAGGAGTGTTTATTAAAGGAAAATACTGGGGTGTCCTGAGCGCAGAAGATCAAAGGGTTAGTGTGGCAATATATTCAATGCTGTCATAAACCAGGGATTCATAGCTCCCATCTTCCTCCCATTCCTAGAAGCATGAAAATAGGAGTTACACCTTCAAATCTGCAGTAAAGCAGTGAGCAGATAATGAGCACAATCTAGCTGTCTTTTTGTTCTGTGGTAAGAATGAGTTCAGTTCCCCGAAGTGGTATTTCTGACTAATGCTGTTAATGCCTTGGGCCATGATGTTGGCACTGCTGGGCCCCATGGATTGGTGCCCACTCTTTGGCACCTTTTAGCAATTCACTGGGAAAGCTGGGGGGCAGAGAGCCAGGAATCACCATCCTCCCTCTTTGAGGGGGTAAATATTCTGCATATTTCACAAGAAGAACCTGAGCCACACTTCTCATGCATGAATGAATGCAAGTCTAAGTCTAGGCCTTTGTAAATTCTGTATAAATATTTTACACCAGTAGACCGTGTACATATATCTGGCACGCAAAACTCTGTCACACCAAAAGCCTTGTGTACTCGTGTGGAATTTGTTGGTCTCCAGTAACAAAGGGAAACAATGTCAGAAGCAGTCTGAGAAGTGATTGACACACAATATCTGGGTAAAACTGTAATCTGGCCTGTGTGCCAGGGATGTGAGGAGATGCTTTAAAGTTGGTATCCAAGGTGGTATTCGGCTGAGACACTGGGCTTGTGTGCTTAACCTACCAAAACTCTTCAAGACACATCAAAGTCATGAATAAATAGTGAGGCTCTTTTTAAAACTGACTTTTCCAAAAGACACTCTTGGCATTGCTGGGATCCCTGGAATTTTGTCAGGCCATTTATTCAGTATTGTCTTAGAAGTCCTGCCTGCTGATTGCCAAACATGCTTTTGGATTAGCTAATCTTTATTTTCAACATTTGGGGTTTTTTTGGTCATAGTGTCATGTCCTGCTTCACATAAATTATCAAATCTGATAAGCTGATAACCTGAGACAGTAACAATAATGTTTAGTTTCCATCAGCAGGTATATCTCAGAATCTTGACTCTGGGCCCCAGAGTCACCAAGTTACCCCAGCAGAGCTGGGCAGTGGGAAGCTGCTGCAGCCTAGGGGCTTAATAATTGTGATCAAACATTGGTATTTTGGAGAGTTTCCCATTCCCACATCCCCTATTCTGAGGCAAAATAGAAAAGCCTGCTGTTAAAGCAGCTCTCACAAGTGCCACTACTGTGTTAAACAAGACAGGGAATACAGGTTCTGGAATATTTTGGACTAGGTGAAATATCACTGCTAATTATTAGCATGTCATGAGCTCGTCAGCAGCCTCAGAGAGTTTCAGGCCGTGTTTTCTGGTGCTGGTATTACTCAGAGCAGATGTTTAGCTTTGGTCTGGATAGAAAGTTTTAATCTCTGTGTGTCAAGAAAGAAATGGGGTTTGTAAAGCCCTAGGATGTGTAAAGCCACCTGAAGAGGCCTTATACCCTTCTTGAGCATGTATATGGAAGGTGCTTCCTGAAGAAGGATTTGGTTTTATCCTGCCATTCCCTTTCATATCTGTCCTTCCAAAGTGAACAGGGGTGAGGAAGAGAGAGGGTGAATATGAAAGCTCCTTTTCGAGCCTGTCCATTTCCCTTTCTGGTTGTGTGGATCCTGGGAACAGGCCAAAGTGTGTCCCCTTTCACTAATCCTTTACACTGACCAGGATAGGGAAAGATCAGCAGAGGTCAGCAGGGATTTACTAATATAAGCACATGCCTTCCTGTTGTCATGGAGACCTAACTCTCCATTCCTTTATTCAGAGTTTATTTAGTAGTTGTGTTGCTCTGAATCCCTGCTGGTGGATGGGTTCCCTTTCTACCCTTGGCCTCAGGATCATTCTCCAGTGGGAGGTGTGGTGGGATGAGCAGCAGGAGCACAGCCTGACTGGTGAGAATTGCCCCAGGCTGGGGTTTGCCCAGTCCTGATTTTGGAAATTGGATGTCCCTCAAGCTCCAATATTATTGTGGTGCAGCTGGGACCTCTGGTGCTCTGAGAATCCTGCTGTTCTCACCTCTTGATTGTAAATCAGGTTTTTCTTCAGTTGATGCAGTGAGTAGGGCAGGTGGAAAACATCTGAAGGAAGCTTCTTTCTACTTGAGGTGGATCTGGCTTGTCCAAGCTCATACTCACCTTTTGCTAGGCCAGGAAATAACATCCTGGCTGCCTGACTCTTCTGGGAGCTGTGTCTGTGGTTATGACCATTTTGCACAAGTTGTGCACAGGTGATGGTACATTTTTGGTTTTCACCCAGTGCAGGGCATGTGCATGAACAGGTATTCAGGGATGGGGATTTGCAGTAGGTACCAGCAGGTACCACTGCCTCTGCTTGGGTTCTTTTTCTGTCCTTCAGTACAAATGAAACTGTCAGCTGAGAACCCCAATGCTGCCATTCCCTGCTGGAATTTTAAGTGATCATTTAGACACCTTTAAGGTAGTTATCAGTGCAGCACTGAGCAGCTTCCACAAGTTCAGGAAACTGACAGATTGACAACATCCATCCTCTATCATAGTTACCCAAGTCTTTGAGAAAACAAACTTGTGAAAAGCAAACCCCCAAAATAGAAGTCTGTGAGTGATGCTAAAGCAGCGTCTCCAATCACAGAAGTAATTGCCTAACTTCTCATTAATTTCTGATTTTTTGTGGTCACAAAACTTGCTGTTGGAACTTTGACAAGATCACATAGTTCATGTATAAAGTGTAAGATTATCAAAGTCAATTATTAAAACAGAGCCTGGTAATGCAGCTTGTTTGCCTTAAAGTGTTACAAAAGGTCACAAACCTCATTGTTTGGGGAAAATCTTTGTCAGCTACCTTTAAAGTGTAAAACCAGCCCTGTCCTGACAGAGCTCAATTAATGCTTTATATGGGACTCTGGTAGCCTTTGAAGTTCCTCCTAATCCACCCCTAAATGCCTGGAACTGTTCTTCAAAGGAGCTCTCCTCCAGTTTCAGTTCAGCATAGGCTTGCAGGATGTAATACACTTCTAAGGGTTTTTTTCCCTTACAAATATCACTAATTTGTATTTTTCTTGTGAAATTTAAAGAAAAACTTCTGAATGTCATTGTTAATCCAGCAACAACTAGTTTGGTGAAAAACTATAACTCTTGTCATTCAGTGATTTGCTTGATCTGATTTTCACTGTGTTCATGAAACAGCGTAGTCTGAACCACGTTTTCATGGTTCTTATATTGTGAAGCAGGAAAAGCTAATTTACTCATTTTTCTTATTAGTGCATATTCATGTGCTATTCACATTCATATATTAATCTATTCCAAAACTGAGAACAGTAAGTGTATGCCCTAGGACTGATGGTTGAAAAGAACAAAAAATGCACTAAAAACATCAGATGTGCTCTTTGTCAAGCCAGATGTTCAGCACTGCCATGGAAGGAGTATTAGGGTTGGAATACATTCACACAGGGGCATGTTTTGTCCTCGGGAAATATTCCATATTAGTACAGTGTGCTGGATACAGGGGAGTGTGTGGTACAATTTGGGGTTGTTCCAGCTGTTAGTGTGCCTGAAGCCTCCACTGAGTCAGTCAAACACAGGGGGGATTTTCTGCCAGCTGCAGTTCACAGAATAATTTGCAGTTATTTAGATAAGTTTCATTTCTTGTGATTTACACCGCAGTGTCCTCAGCCCGCTCCATGCATGCCCTGTGAGCAGTGCTGTGTTACTTCAGGATATCTGTTCCAGAAAAGGAATGTTTTCCTCCAAAACGCTCCTGCTGAACTACATGTATTGACAGTGCTATTGTTCATGGTCACAGTGAGTTTTGAGCAGATCAGAGTTCTCTCTGTTCCTTCACTGCTGTTTTTGGTAGCCAAGAAGGCCTTTGTGCTTGTTAGTGAAGCTTTGTGTTGTCTGCAGTTGAGCTGTAGGATGGACCAAACCAGAGGAGGTACAACAAGGTGTGTCTGTTGTGACACAGCTTTGGGAAAGGCGGGGAATACCAAAGGGCTTTGATGTTTAACTTTATTTGCAAAAGGCATTTTGCCTGTGTTCTTCTCATGGAAGCAGAAAGCCAAGCATGAGCCTTGGCAGTGCCTCAGCCTGGCTATGCCAGCAGTGCCTGGGGATTCTGTGGAAATGGGAATTTCTTTGCAGATGGAGTGTGCTGCAGCTCCTTCCCAACACGCAGTGGACTCCGGCTCCTTTTGTGTCCCAAAGGGTGCTCCTGGCCCCTGGAAAGTGCAGGCTGGGGCCGGTTACTCATTAAGCCTACAAAGGCTCATATCTCCTGCCTAGTAAAGCTCTTTTGCGAATAGTTTCCTGGGCTTCCACTCTAATTGCCACAGAGATTCCAGGCAGATTCCGTCATCCTTGTTTTCTGCCTGACTGGGAATCTGAGAATAAAAGGGTTGATGGCAGAATAATGGGATTGCTGGACAGTGCAGGGCTCAGCAGCTCTCCCCAGCATCACATGAGAGGGGAAGGGAGGGGTAGGCCATGGAGATGCTGCTGGGAAGAGAAAGGGCTGCTTAAATCCCTGAGCACCCTCCCTCCCCCAGCAGCACGGCCTCTTAAAAGACTTAGAAACACTACAGTCTTTGGTGGGAGGAATTTGGGTTGGGGGAGGTCAGGGCAGGGGCAGGCTTTTGTAAACCAAAGTCTCCTATAAATCCCTTTCAGGCCCTGAAGTCTGTGCCTCCAGCCTCAGGTACAAAGAGACTGAGGAGCTGATGGGGCAGAGTTGATGAAGCACCACTGACACAGATCAACTACCGGGGTGGGTAAGGTGCACCAGAGCAAGGCAAACGTGACCAAACTGGGCCAGGATGGTGCTGGTACCAGTGAGAGGATGTGGAGATCAGCTGGGGAGCGATGCTGAGGTGTGTGATCCCGGCAAGTCCTTAGCTTGGAGCATGGCAGGGTAAAGCAACATTCCTCATGGAGCAGGGAGGGCTGAGGGAGCTACAGGGATTTGGGATCTTGCCCTCTCTCCACCTGCAGCTTTGTGGGGTTTACAGAGACTGAGGCCCGTCGTGACCTGGGCCATGGCTACATAGAGAGGGCAGCAGGAAGGGTGAAGAGCTGCTTGCCCAAAGGCTTCGAGTGATGGTTTGACTTCCAACACCAGGGAAGTCTGGATTGTCTCACCAGTAGCAATTTCTCAGATACCATTTGCTCCTTCATGAGCTTTATCTCTGCTTTGAGACCATTTTTCATAGGCATTTTCCAAACATCTGCTATATAGTTGTTTGCAGAGTTACTTCCAAGTTTGGATGTTTCATAACACTTATGCAGGAATCAGGCTGGGATATCTCTACCACACAGCTTCTCTCTTATTTATCTTGGAATTGAGCAGAATGAAAAGTTCTGATCTCAGAAGGCCACAATGGGATGAGGTGCTAATGACTGCTGCTTTTGTGGAAGGCTAAATTCTCTGTTTCCCCTGCCTTTGTCCCTTTATTCTATTCTTGGTTGGTTTATGTCTTTTGGAAAGTGCTTAATTGTGGCATTGAATGCTGGACATATATCCTAATTCTAACATAAAGGCTGTTATCTCCTGTCCCCTGGGCTGTCCTGCCCTCTGGCCAATCTGCTGATTGTTTCACAAAGTAAATTTAAAATTTCTTCTGGAAAAGAAATGAGGATTCCTCCTATTATTCCATTCTGCTCCATTTTGAAATATCTACTTTGAACACTTTTTTCTTCTTCTTCTTCTTCTTTAATATTGTGTATCCTACATAATCTCATTTATATGAAGGAAATTTGCAGTTCAGTGGGCACATCCCATCGCATTTCCGGATGGTGGAGCTGCTAATGGGGCAAGAGGCTTTTAAACACTGCCTTTGTGGGGACAGCAATGCATTGTGGCTCAGTGTGAATTAACTGATCACATCTGAATGCTCCCAGATTTAGGGGAATCTGGTCTCAACATTAGTTCCTGGTATCTGGTTGTTAGACTGGTGTTTTGGCTCAGCAGGTACTGATCCAAAATGCCATCAGCACAGTGATCTCAGCACTCTCTGCTCCTCCTTGCTAAAAATGTCCTGCTGTGTAAATTTGCATGTCTAACAGGAGAGGGTGGTTATCAACCTGAGCTGCCTGATGTAATCAGAGACTCTGTGAAATATGCCCATTTGGAGTTTGCCTCGGGTTATTTATGGGAGCATCTTCAAATCACTCCTGGATTAGCTGAGAAAAAATTGTATTCCCAGAAGGAGCAGCTGGGACACGCAGAGCTGCAGCCAATACCTGAACTCATTCTGCCTCTCTGGATTTCCAGGCACAAATGCTGTGCCCTGCCAGTGAAAGGGGTCATGGAATTTTACACTAAGTTAATCTCGTGAATGGATTTAAGGTGATATGTGTCACTGCTCTCAAAGTGACTCATGGATGAATAAGCACAAGTAAAATAGTTGTTTTGCGAGTGTCTCCTAAAAAAATCAGCTACCTGGTTATCCAAATTGGCAAGAGATTCCTGATTGCCAGCAAATGAAGGGCTGTTGTCTTCTTTATTGTAAATGTTTGATTCTCCAGTATCATCCTCATCTCATGGCTAGCACAGCCCTTTGGAGTGTGGAATTTAAGTGGGCAATCTCCAAGCTGTATGTGGGAATTGGCAGAACTTTTTTCTTTAGAGCTACAAATGCTGACTAACAAAAAGTCTCTTTTCTCATCAGGAACCTCATACTCTGAAAATGCCAGTGGCTGTTCCTCATCCCCATGTGAGAATGGGGGGCGCTGTAAGGATTTGGAAGCGGGTTACCAGTGCACCTGCCCTGTGGAGCCTGTAGCCTACATGGGCATAAATTGTGAACTCCTCTACGATGCTTGCATTGAACATTCCTGTCCTGCCCACATGACCTGCACAAGGACTCCAGGACTGCTGGAATATGAATGCATGTGTCCAGCTGGCTCTGCAGGGGCTGGCTGTGCCAGCGTTGATGAGTGTGAGAGCAGCCCTTGCACAGACCCTCGGTTTGAATGTGTAGATAGCCCGGCTGGATACACCTGTAGATGCCAGCTGGGCCCTGGTGGAGAAGGCTGCCAGGCAGAAAGCTCCGTGTGCTCCAGCCAGCCCTGCCTGAACAACGGCACTTGTGTGGAGGCTCCGGGCGGGTTCCGCTGCCTCTGCCGGCCCGGCTTCAGCGGGGCCACGTGCGGGGACGACATCGACGAGTGCGCGTCGGGGCCGTGCAGGAACGGGGCCATCTGCAGGGACAGGGCGGGCGAGTACAGCTGCTTCTGTGTGCCCGGCTTCCAGGGCTCCAACTGCGAGATCGACATCGACGAGTGCGCGTCGCGGCCCTGCCGCAACCACGGCACCTGCCTCAACCACATGGACCGCTACGAGTGCCGCTGCGCGCCCGGCTACGCAGGTACGGCCGCTCTGCCGCCCCACGGCCTCTCCCAGGCTCTGTGTGCCCACAGGCTGGGGCCGTGGCTGTGAGGAACGCTGTGGGGCTGCTTACAGCAGCTTCTAGGCACTGCTTGAGGACTTGAATTCCGTGCGTGGTGTAGGTGCTGAGAGACACGGAGCCAGGAGTGGCTGAGAATGGAGTACTAGGCACAAGGTAGCTGTCATTAGTTCTTGGCATGAAATTAAGGGAGATAACATAAAAAGATATTTATCATCAGGAAATGGATGCTTAGTGTTTCCAGGTATAACAGCTCTGCCGACTGGCCTGTAGTTCTTTCTCCTGTCCAGCAGGATTTTTCCAAGGAAGTACTTGTCTTTTGGAAAAAAGTGTCTTTTAGTTAGAGATTTCCAATTCTTTCATGTGTGGCGAATGTTTATTTGGCATATGATTTGAGTGTTTCTCTTTTGTGCTTCTGTGCAAATGGTGACTCAGAGAGGAATCCACACCTGTAACTTATCTGTGAGGGAGGCAGTGGGGGGCTCTCCTTCCCCCAGCCCTGCTTATCGGAGTGGAATGGAGTGGAATGTGTCCATGTCTGCCTGGTACCACTTTGCACATGAACTTTCTCAGCCTTCCTCCTGTTCACAGACTGAAGTGTTTAAGGAGTTGGGTTGCTGTGAAGGAATGCTGCTGATTACCAGTGGAATGAGGAGAAGTTACAACATCAGGAATGTAGTCCCTGATGCTGACTCACTCAGATAAAAGTGAAGAGACATGAAGGAGAAACAAGACAGAATTTCTATGTAGGCCCTAAGGTTACTGGTGATTTTGAGTATCAAGCATAATTCTGTCTTTGCAAATCAGTTTCTTTTTTTATCTTTATGCTGAATCCTCAATTTGGGATTGTGGGTTTCCCTGCCAAAGGAGCGATAAAGTGACCCTGGCAGCTGGAGGAGTTTGTTGTGTTTCAGGTTATTCTGATAACAAACATGAGGTTTAGCCTTGGGATTTGGTTCTTCATCCAGAGGTTTGAGCACCATTGGCTGGCAAGGCCAGGTTGTTTCCTGGTGCTTACAGCTGGAATTAGGGTGAAGGAAGTTTTGTGTGGGTATTGAGGGGTTTGAGCCAGATTAGGGGCCCCACATTCCACCAGGATTAGGATGGCCATGCCCACTCTGTGGGGAGCCTTTGCCAAAGAGGGCAGATCAGATGGATTGGTAGGTGCCACTAATGAGTAAGGTTTGGAGGTGATGCCAGGCCACAGGCAGCTCAAAGAGGTGGAATATAGATAAGATAATTGCATAGATGTCTTTCATGAGGTCTTGTTCTGTCAGGGAGGTTGGGACTTAGTACCAAACACGTGTTACTTGCTGTGACCACTGGTGGAGCTAACATTGTATTTTTAATAGTATTTCCCAATAAAATCATGTCCTAACATCAGGTATCACTGTAGCCAGTGTTTTGCACTACTTTAGTGCTTTTTTCCTGGGTATCACAAAGCAAGTTACAAACAATTGAGATAAATGGAATTTATTTTTAGAGAAGCAGGTAGAGATCACTCTGGTGGCCAGCTGGGGGTGATAACTGATGACAAAAACAAGATGACTCTTGTGATTTCATCTCAGAATTCCAGGCAGCACATATACACTTCTATGGATTTGTAATGCTGATATTTTTCTGTTTTTTTAACAAAGGTGTGAACTGTGATACTGAAATAGATGAATGTGCTTCAGACCCTTGCCAGAATGGGGCCTTGTGCAATGATCATGTTGGGTTCTACACCTGCACCTGTGCACCAGGTTATCAAGGAGCCCAGTGTGAGGTGGACATCAATGAATGTGAGAGCCAGCCATGCCAGAGCAACGGGACATGTCATGACCTCATTAACAGGTGAGAAACCAGTGCTGGAGGGCAATGAGACACCAGGACTGATCTAAAGGTCTACTCAGCACGGCCTGTGAAAATAAGAGTCGAAAGCTCTGGGGGGAATTGAATTTAGTGTTTTGTACATTGAGTGGCAGTAACAGTGATTTGTGGCAATAAAAGGGAGAAGCCCCCTCCCAGCAGCAGAACTCCAGGGTTGCTTAAAGGAAGGGAGGAACAAACACAGAGAAGCGGTTTGCAGAGCATGAACAGCACAGGCAACTGCTGAGAAAATGCCTGTGTGTCTGAATTTACCTTTCCACAGGTAAGGTGTGAACACAAGTGGGTGTGAGCACTGACAGCTGAGCTCTTTTGCCTGTTCCTTACCCGGGGCTTTGCTGTCCAGGCAGAGCTGATGCCTTGCTGTGTTTGGTGCCCCACAGCTACCGTTGTGACTGCAGTGACACCGGCTTCGAGGGGGCCCACTGCGAGCTGGACATCCTGGAGTGTGCCTCTGACCCCTGCCACAACAATGCCACGTGCCTGGAGGGAATCAAGGGCTACAGCTGTGCCTGCTGGCCAGGTGGGCTGGGGGTTCTCTGCTCTTGTGGTGTGTGGGCACATGGCCCTGGACAGCATGGGATGTGTTGAAGAAGTAGAGAATTAATGATCATACTGCATGGCCTCATGTGAGATTTCATTGTCTGGAACAGTGAGGCTACACTGCTGCCCTTTACAGGTCATCCCAAAATCCAACAGACCTGCAAAAATCACCCTGATTGTCAACTATAAAATTCTCTTTCTGTTTTCTGCCATTTTCCATCATCAGTTCCTCTATCATGAGGTGATGCTTTCCTGCATATTGATGATTTTAGCTGCTGTATTTGACATAGTGGAGAAAGTAGAGGGCCTAGGGGCTCCCTGCTAGATGAGTGCAGGTCTGGGGTTCTCATTCCCTCCTCTGAGTCAGGCACAGCATTTGGGAGCTGAAGTTGTGCGCGATGCTGACAGCAGTGTCTCGTGGCAGGTTACACCGGGCAGGACTGCGAGGAGGACGTGGATGAGTGTGTGACAGAGCCCTGTCACAACGGTGGCCTGTGCCTGGAGCGCTCCAACCCCGCCCATTACGGGACACAGCCCCACTTCCCCAGCACCTTCAGCTACAGCCAAGCAGCTGGGTTCCTGTGCCACTGCCAGCCAGGCTTTACAGGTGAGCTGCACTGCAAATCTTCATCCTGTCTGTACTGGGTGGTGCTGCTGTTTGAGGAGATGGGAATGGAGCAATGTTATCTCTGCAACATAAATCCCTTGAGGACTGGTACTTCAGAGGGGCTGGCAGCCTGATGTATCAGGAATGTGCTTCTGCTGCCATTGCAGACAGCTGAATGTCATTCCCTGTCCAAACCTCCAGGCTGAGGCAACAGCCTGTGCACTTCCCCATGCTGCCATGAGTGCCCGCTGGCTATGCAGGTGCCAGGGTGTTTCCCCTTTGTCAGTCTTCCGTGCATATGGCAGGATTCATCCCTAGGGAGATCTCTGAAATTCCTCATCAGAGAAAGCTAATTCCCTGGAGTCACAGATTACTATTCTAGGTGTTTTCTTGGTGAGACTACTCCCATGGCAGCAGCTGTGTAATCAGAGTGGGACAAGAGGACATTCTTGGTATGGAGCTCTTGAAACTAGAAGCTCTGTGGATGTCTCACTGAAATATCACCCTTTCCATGGATTGGAGAAAGTGTAAAATGCTGGATTTAACAGCTAGGGAAATTCCCTAGTGGGAAGTCTTAAACAAGAATACTTCATTATTTTATGAGATAAATGTGAGTGTTTGGTCCACTATTGCACAGATAGGAATGGTTCAGAAGTTCTAATCTTGCCAGTATTTGGAAAATCTGGAAAATTATTTCATACTTCATTTGCCCCCATTGTTCCGTGCTGGTGTTTGTGTGCCAGTGCCTGCAGAGATATGCTAGACTTCAAGGAATTCTTTTATATTTCTAGGTGAAAGAAAAGAAGTGCAAAACTTATGACTGCAGATGTCATTTTTGTTTCACTGCTGCACAAGGGCACTTCAGATGTGTGTTTGTATTTTCACTTCCCAGGGGAGACCTGCTTTACCAACATCGACGAGTGCGAGTCCCAGCCCTGCCAGAACGGGGGGCTCTGCCAGGACCTGGTGAATGGCTTCCTCTGTCAGTGCCTACCTGGTTATTCAGGTAACCTGGGGAAGGGCTGGCTGCAATCAGATCCTTCTGGCTGGCTAATGCTGAGCTACTGCACTGCTGCCTGGCTGCAGGATTCCAGGATGAGAGGGCTGGATTGAGAGTGTGCAGCAAGGATGTCTGCAGTTCAGGGCTCAAATGCCACAGGAAAGCTGTGTGAGTGTGGGCAAGATATAGGCCATGAGCTAGATTTGGAGACATAAGATCAACTGCATAGAGTCTAAGATCAGAGTATCCAGGACGTCTTTAAGCTGGAGTGAAAGTTACCTGGGAGAGCTGTGGGGGTTTCTATACATGTAGAAAGTATATAGAAAACCAGCCTTTCAATAAAAGAAGGGATGTTTAACATTCTAGCTGTCACAAATTGTACTGGCTGTAACAGATTGGCTCACCAGCACATAAGCATCTGTGAAACATCTCCATTCACTAACACCCTGGGATGATAAGAGCCAGCCATTTTTGGCCGAAAGCAGTGATCTGCTATGTTAGGAGGTCAAAAGGTCTTTGTGATGTGAGCAAAGGAAGCCTTCTCTGTTTACAAGGGAATGAGGAGTCTGGATTCTTCCCCAAATGCCCTGCCTGACCCTAAGGGTTCAGTTTGCTGGTTGAGAATCTGGGAGATGGTAAACGTCAGCCCTGTTGAGAAAGTCCTCTGCTAACTGGTACTATACCTCATCTTTCTTTAAAATATTAATTCTCAGTCTTCTTTGTCTTTAAAATCCACGTGTGTTGGGCAATTTAACACCAGAGTAGTTTATAAGAAAGGTGATCCCAGCACAATCCTGGATTTCTGGATTTGAGATGAGGGTAACTTTTCCACAGTGTTACCAGGCTGCCATCTCGTGGGAAAAAGAAACACTTGAAGCCAGAAGAAAACCCTGTCCTTTAACTTGCAACAGCAGGTAACAACATTCCAGAGACTCTCCCAGGGCTTATGGCATGGGAAAATTTTCTGTTTTCCTTCTGTGCTTGTAGTGGTTGAGCTCGTTGATTTAATTCTGCCCAGCTCTTTCCTGGGAAGATCTATCACTTTCATTCCCGGAATGTAAAATCAGCTTCTAGTTAACACCTTCTGTAACTGGGCTGAATTATTTGTGGGATTTTCTGGCCTATCTCATTTGCTAATTTAGGCCAGATCAAGAAAAATTTGCTTTTGTAGATGACGCCTTTGAAAATCAGTTTTTTTCTAAGCTTGTTATCGCTGCTTTCTCGGGCAGTTACAATGTTGTACTCTGAGCTGAGATCTTGTCCAAAGAGATGGTTTAAAGTTTATCCTTCTTGTCAGAATTCCCACTCACATCTGTGCCCTGCTCTCTTTTCCTCCTGCAGTTCCCCAGCACCCTCACAGAGCTCAGAATTTCATTGTGCTTTGCCAAGCTGCAGATCTGTTTAATCCTTTCCAGTTCTTAGCGTGCTCATGGGCAGAAAAGCTGACAGAAACACGGGCTGATGGGCAAAGGAGTGCTAGAGTTCATTCTGTTGCATCAAATTTGGGTTCATTAGCACTTGAAGAGGATTAGAAGCAGGTTGCTCTTCTGGATATTGCTTTTGGTAAAGAACTTTGTCTCAGCTGAGGTAGTTCTGACACATTAACACAGCAAAAGGCTGGGAGCAGTCTGTGAGATCAGTGAGTGTGTGTGGAGGAGTGAAGCTGACAGGGAAATAATAGCAATTAATCTCCCCTCCTTTGTCAATTAATCCCAGTACAGTCATGCTGGGTAAACAGCTTATTACTTCATATTAGGATCACAGAACAACTTTGTGAAGCTTCCCATAATGTTTCTCTTCAAAACACATTTCTGTGGCAGCTTAGATCTGCCATGAACTTGGGTTTAAGCTGCCTCTGCTGATTAAAGTGAACTTGCTACTCTGATGAAGAATGCTTTCTTGGGGCGGCAGGGGTTCCTTCTGTGTGTTTGCTTCTTCAGTCTGAGGAATTTGGGGAGTGTTGGGATAACAATGCAAGTCAGGAGAAATTCTTTCTTTGCAAACTAACTGCCTCAGTGCTGTCTCAGTGTAGTGCGGGCAGATGAACCTTCTCTCTGAAATGTAGCTGTTGCAAAAGTGGTGTCTCATTCCTGAGAGAACAATGTAACAGGTCCTGAAGAGTCTGTTCAGCACGTGGTTTGTGCTTTAGCAGAGCATATAGGTACCTGAGAGGATACGTGAACTATGAATCAAAAGATTGCATGGGTACTAAATGAAGTGCAAAGGAGGGGGAATCTTGCATGCTCTTGGAAATTATGTCAGCTCTGGTCAAGAGACAAAGCATATTAGGAAAAGCATATTTTTAGGGGGGCAAAGAAATCCAACAAAATGAATTCTTCATTTATTTATTTTTTCAGAACTGCTTTCAGTCCATGAGGTATTTATTAGGCAATAGGCTAGGCCAGGACAAGAAAAAGACAGGTACCTCCATTTGACATGGCCACTGATTTTTAACCTGCAAAAATGTTATCAACCGAAGTTTGGATCATTCATTCTTTAAAAACTTTGAAATGGCCTGAGTGCTCCCACTCAGCTGAAGTTGTGCTCAGGCAGGAGAGGCTGTGTCCTGCAGCAGGCACTGGGCAGCCCCACACGGCCCTGCCATGCAGACACCCAGCCCGGGGCACCACACCTTGTGATCATGGGAACATTCTGAGCTTTTCTGCACATGGCTCAGGAACACTCCTGCTTTCATGAGAAATCAGAAGGTGGTGTGGTGTGAATGTGTCCCAGTATAATTGGAGGGTTTATTGACCATCTCACTTTGTTCAGCCCTAACGTCTTTGTCTCCTTAAAGAAGTAGAAACCTTCTGTGCAGCAGCTATAAATGGTGACTCTGTGAGGGTGCCAGCCCAGATCAAATGGGCTTGAATTCCTGGGTCATGGGTCAGGAAATAAATGGGAGATGCTTCTTCCTTCTAACCACCTTTGGCTAGATTTAATTTTTTTGTGCAGGTATTTCTTAAGTCAGATTTGTTTTAGAGATGGAGCCTCTAGAGCAAGGGCAGCTAAAAGGTTAAGATAGTAAAGAGATTAGAGGCCTGTTCCACCTTCAACCAAATCCCTTTTGGTAAATATAGCTGAAGGGAGCTAGGCAGCGCTTGGTGAGGCTCCCCCCCTTCCCTTCCCTTCCGCTCCACGTTTCTTCTCCCTGCTGCTCACAGCTCCATGTTAATCAGACCTTTTGACTTCCCTGTCATCTGATCAGAAGGCTGCGAGTGCTGCAGTCCAGAGCCTGCTTGTGCCTGGTGCCAGGTGAGAGCAGAATCTGTGCTGGGTGCATTGGGGTGTGATGGATTTCCAGGCAGTAGTGTCCAGCTAGACTCTGTGTGTGTATGTGGAGATAAATATGTGGGTGCATAAACCAAAATAGACATCTTTTTGAAGACATTGAATGTTCTGCAGTCTTAAAAGTTGTTACACTTTATTGTTGCAGTAGTAGCTGAATGTGCACAACTGCCTGTTTGTTTTCTCCTGAACAGTAACAGAAGGGTCAGAGTAGCTAACAGAGATAATGTTCCAAATCTGTGCTGGGATAGGTCTGTGGCCATCTGAGAAGTTTTGACTCCAAGCAAACACCATATCCCTCCCACTTCAAGTATCTGTAAAAGTGACTGACATGTTTGGATTGAGTAAAATTACAAAAGTGAAATAGCTAGAGGAGTTGTTGGAATGCTTTTTTTAATATCTTAGTGATACTGCTAATGGAGATTCCAGACACTGACATGTGGGAGGTTTTGTTTGCTTGGACCTGACATTGGTACAAACAGAGACTCCCAGGTTTGGGGAAAAGCTCCCAGATAACATTTCTTCACAGAATAAGAAACTTCTCTGGGTTCTTACAACACAAAAATACAACTCTGCCTCCAGAAATTTTATGATATGAAAGTAACTATATTAAAAAACAAAACAAAAACAAACCCCAGAACCATAGAAGAAAAAGGAGACTGCAACAGCTAATTAAATGAGGTGGCTAATGAGGAAAGAGAGTTTAGATTGTGTGCTGCCACGTGTGAGCCTGTACATTCAGCATAATGCAGGGAATTTCCTTCCATCCAGTTTGACTTCAGAGAAACAGATCACAGTCATTAAAACCTGAGATTTTCCTTAGTGAATACAGCAGAGTGGAAGTGTCTGTGCTCACAGATCCCTGGAACAGGGCACAGGGAGGAGGAAAACTGCCTGATGGACCCTGATTCCCTCAGTAATGAATGTGGAGCAGGGCCCAGGTTCACCCTGCATTTGGAACTCCCCTTGTTCCTATGGTTTAGATATTGCACAATGGTGGAAACGCAGCTTTTTGTCTTAGCCTATAAAAAGACATTTTGGCCTTATCACGGAATTTGGCAGATTCACCTGGAACTCAGCAAGGGCAGGAGATTGTCTCTTGGCTTTGCCCTGCTGAGCGAGGCTGTGGGCACCGCCGGGCCCCACGGGAGGCACGGAGCAGGAATATGCTGGGAGCACACATTCCTGGTGTCAGCACGGACAGGGGCCAGCTGGGAGGGTCAGAGCCAGGCTGGATTAGACCTGGCGCAGGGCAGGGCTCTGCTCCCCCGGCTCTTTCGCTCCAATCCCTTCTCGTGTGACTGGCACCAGTGAGCGCCTGCACGCACTGCCCTGTCAGCCCAGCCTTTTTGTCATCCCTCCCCCCCTTCACCCCCATTTTTTTTTTCCCTTTACTGTCACCAATGTCCACAAGGAGTCGGCCATGAAATCTGTGCTGATTGGCGTGATCCTGAGGGGAATTTTTCTGCTAGCAGGTAATGAGATGTGTACAGTGCTTGCAACGTGTCCTGCCTGTGTGTGTGCCTGCCCAGGGCAGGGGGCTGGGTGTGTGATGAGTGGTGGCTGGAGGCATGAGGAGGAACCAGAATTGATTAGAAAGGAAGAATGTTTTTATTTTGAAGAGACCTAAAGTTTTGTTTTGGAAACTTTAAGGCGAGGAATTTCCTTGCTGCACGGATCTGGCTGAGAGCTGCACAGCCGCTGTGCTCTGCCCTGTGGTGCAGTGGCAGAGCCGGGTGTTCCGAGGCTCCGTGCCCAGGTGAGCTCTGGAGACACACAGGAGCATCCCGGCTACTTCTGGAAAACGTTAGTTTTGCTTTTTACTGATGTTTTTGCAGTTTTCATTTTTCCTTTATTGATTGAAAGCTGCCTTAGTGAGAAATAGGCGTTGTGGTTGTAACTCAGGACAAACCCTTCGGTGGTCAGTGCCTTCCCCAGCTCCCTCTCCCCGAGCAGCAGCGCGGTGGGAGAGCGGCAGAGCAGGGGTTGCCATGGAAATGGCAGTAATTGTGCAAATATAATTGTGTCGGGGTCCGTTTGTTGCGGCTAATTCTCTGCCTACCCCCTCTCCCTCCCCTCCTTTTTCCTTTTGATAATCATAATACAAACCCTAATTAGGATGCAGCAGGGAAAGGTCGTTAAGAATTCAGCTGCCTCACGGAGAGGGCAGGGTGGTGCTGGCCGGGCAGCCCTGCTGAACTCCCGTGTTTCAAGGAACAGACCTTGTCCTTCAAGGTTTTTGATATCTGATAGCTAAATTAGAATATTTCACTTTATTTGTGCTTATTCTTTTAACATTTTATCTGTTGAAGTATATGATTCTTACACTGTATATATAATCTTTGCTTATTAATAGCAGCCAGTAAATCGTTCCATCCATTCAGGCAGTGGCGAGCTGTGTGGATTTAATCACACTCTCATCTACAAACCAGAGCTGTTCCCACCACAGCAGTAACACTCCCAACGTTGGGAAGGATTTGTATTTGAATATTTGAATATGCTGGAGGCTGTGAAAGCTCAGCCACTTCTGAGTTTCTGACCCAGCCCCTGTGGGCTGGTGGCTCGGGACTGTTACCGAAGACACTGCTGAATTAAGGAATGTTTGAAATCCTTGACTCCAGATAGCAGCCTTTTAGATACCACTCATCTGATTTTCAGATAACAAGTTCCACGCTTTGCTATTGTTAGTCCTTAACTAGATAAGGAACTCATTAAACCTTTGAAAGTCTCCTAATGGTGTAATGAATCAGATTGGTTGCTTCTACTATTGATGGCTCAAATAAAAGTAAACATTTCAGCTATGAAATTTAGAGGGAACAGAGGAGACTACTACTTGTTTACAAGGAGAATAACTTGGTTTTGTTACTTGTTTTTGTCGAACAGAGTCATGCCCCCAATTTATTTTTTTTTTTAATAAACCTGAAAAGGGATGCCTATGCTGCTCTTAGAAAAAACAATTTATGTTGAACAACTTCTTAATATCTACTTCCCAGTGGGTCTGCAAAGACACAACTGTCCATGTCGTGGAGAAGATTGGAATAATGGATATCCAGGAAATGATCTGTACTTTTGGAAACTGTAGTGATGTAGCTCCAGATAACTGCTTAGTAAGTCTTCCAGGAAAAGAAGTGTCATTAGCCAGATTTTTAGAACTCTTGTGCAATCCCCTTTTCACCCATTTCAAACAAATAATTTAAGAAATCAAACTAGCTGCATTCCATGGGAAAGCCTGGTGTTAAATCTGCTACCAGCCTGGGGCTGTGCACCCACCCTGGGGATTCGTGTCCCACCTGGTGTGAAGCACTGGGGCAGGAACAGAGCACAGGTGCTCCTGCTGCTGTGCCAGAGAGCTGAGACCTGCTCAGGCTGGGAATGTGGAATGGGAAAATGGGCCTCTCACTGCCTCCCAGCCTTCTCAGAAATGCAAAAATTCATGGCATCTCTCCTTTTGTTATCCAAACCAGTGTTACCTTTCCCTCATTGCCTTGGTAAATATCAGCAGCTCTGATCTGAAACAGCAGCATCTGGGGGTTTGGGACTGTGCCAAACTATACTATACCTGTCTTTCCTTATTCAACAGCCTCTCCCCTTAAATCTGACTGCAGACTTGCCTCCTGCAGCTTGGAGAGCCCTCCAAGAAAACCCACTCCACACAGTTACACTGCTCTACTGATTTTTCCCAGTTGTGATGGAAATCTTCCCATCTCCTCCCAAACTGGGATTCTCCAGGCCCACTGATGTCCCTTTTACTCTATTTATTCCAACACATTTCCTTCACAGCTTTGCGCTGCAATTTGAATTCCGTCCCTGCTGTCCCCTTGCTGAGCAAGCCCAGCAGTAAGAGGAAAAGGGCTGTGCTGAGGTTGTGAAGATACTGTTGCTTACAGAACAGCTCTGGCACATCTGGAAAGTGCAGAATTAGAACCTTGCATTTCTCTTTCAGTGCTTCCCAGAGCTCTGTCCCTACACTGGCACAATTGGAAAGTTTGGAGCTGGAAGCTGGTGCTCATCTCTCTGCAGAGCTCAGGGGACAAGCCATCACTGCAAATATTCAAGAATCTGTATCTTTGCTAAGTTTTTATTTTTAATCACACATCAAGTCCAGCTTCAGTGCTCCTAATGCCCCATCTCCCCTCATCTCTCTGCCCCAGCCAGCTCTCTAATCTCTTTGACATGCACATTTTGTCTAGTGGCTTTTCTTTACAAATGTCCTTTGTGTTTTGATTCCCCTCCTTTGTGTGTGAATTCCTTCTTTTTCTTCCTGCTGCCCTCGTTGTGCTTGCTGGCTGGATCGGGTGTAATGCTATTAGATTGGGATAATCCATGCTTGGTTTATCTGTGGGACTGTCTCTGAAGATTAGTGAAAACCAGTGTTATAGGCTAGATAAAATGAACTGGTTCAGGGCTCTTCTGTCAGTCTGGGGATGCTCAGGAAAATGACAGCAGATTTTCATTAGCCAGATTTGGTAATTTACTTGAGCCCCTTCGGGATCTGTGTGCCTCCAGGAGACAGAGCTGCAGTGCAGGACCTCACCCAGTTCATTTGTGCAGGACTGGGCAGAAATCAGCTTAGCACCAGCATGGCAGAGTGCCTGTGGAGCATGTTGTATCTGTTGTTTGGTAATGAACTGAGTTTTGTGAGTTTTACATCTGGTGGGTCGTCTTGGAATTTGATTTTTTTAACTGAGACTTTCCAGTAACTTCCCATTTTACTGCTGTCTGCAACACTGGTGCCTGGAGCGTGCTCCAGTCAGAGCTGTAGACCTACCTGGCCTTTCAACATACCAAATCTATTAAGAAAAAAGCATAAATTCCTTGTCTTTGCTGTTTTGGTCCTTCCATACCTTCTGCACATTGACTGCCTGTGGGGTTTGAGCTTGGGTCAGGACAGCAGTTGGTGGGGGAATTTGGGCTGACAGGCCAAAGCTCTATAAGTAGCACCTGGGAGGACACAGAAGTTTGGGTTTCTTGCTCTTGCATGATGAGCAGGACCCTCTGAGTGAGTGTGGGGTTCCTTGCTGGCAGCTGCTCCCTGGAGAGAGCTGGGGAGGGCTGTGCCAGTCCCACGGTGAGACCCCATCTCTCAATCTCTTTCACAGGTGTGGAATGTGCTGTTAACATCAATGAGTGTGAGGAGGGGCCCTGCAAGAATGGAGCTGTCTGTGAGGATGGCATTGCTGACTATTCCTGCCACTGTGCCCCTGGCCAGGATGGCATCACGTGGGGAGGGAAGAACTGCTCTGTCCAGCTCACCGGGTGCCAGACGCACGACTGCCAAAACGAGGCCTTGTGCATCCCAACCTACCAAGCTGAGAGCCACGGCCACCTGTGCCAGTGCCAGCCTGGTTTCTATGATGCCACCTGCTCGACTCCAACAACGTTTTCCTTTGCTTCCAGAGGGTATCTCCTCATTGAGCTGGAGAACAGTGAGAGCAGGAGGGGCGCAGGAGCAGCCAGCGTCTCCCTCCGCTTCCGAACCACTTTGCCCAGCGCTGTCCTTTTTTACCGAGGCCGTGAAGCTGAGTACTTGTTCCTGGAGCTCCTGGATGGCATCCTGCATGCAGAGCTGAGGAGGGAGGATGTTGGGTACCCGCTGCTCCTCAAGGGGCTGAGAGTGGACGATGGACAGTGGCATAAAGTGGAAGTTGTTGTGCACAGCACGGTGCAGCTGAAGCTCTGGCATGGCTCTTGTGAGGCTGGGCTCTGCCTGCAGAGCTCTCCTGTCCCACCGGCTGCTGCTTTGATCCCTCCAGCCTTCCTGAACCTGTATATTGGAGGTGCTGAGGATCCAATGGCAAACAACACACGGAGCCAGCAAGGCTTTGTGGGCTGCCTGGAGGACTTGCAGGTGGATGCTGAGGCCGTGCTGCCAGCGGATCTGCCGCTCGGGGAGTCGTCCCCGGTGAAGCTGGGCTGTGACCGCACAGAGTGGTGCCTCTCCCAGCCCTGCTTCCATGGAGGGCTCTGTGTGGACCTTTGGGCCACCTTCAGGTGTGACTGTGCCAGGCCCTATGGAGGCCCAGCTTGCTCCTATGGTAAGTGCCATGGGATTGACACCTGCCAGCTCCACAGGTACTGGAGCAGCTTGGATGTTAGCTCTAGAAACAGGACTTTTGATTTGACTGGGCCCAAAAATAAAGCAAAAAGCCACTGTGAATAAAATTCTCATTGATCCCTTTCCTGTCGTTTGCTCCTGCAGGAATGACTGTCAGTTTTGTGGTGCAGGTTATTCCTGTAGAGCCAGAGGCTCTGACTTCACCTTTTTAAGAGATCTGTGTGAATGCAGGGGAGCAGGGAAGTTGTTTTATTGTGAAAAGTTGTTCTTGAGCTTCAGAGCTGAGGATGAATAAGAATGTATTGCTTTATGGATAAACTATAGAATGTTATAGGAAGCTCTTTGACAATTTTGAGTTAAAATAATTTCTATTTGCATTTTTTGCTGCTGCAAGGCTTGTGTTAGTATTGGAGTTTCTTTCAACCCTTCTGAGCCCTAAATATGGCATGTACTGCTGTTACCAAATTTACAAATTTTAAAAGCAACTCTGTATCTCAAAAGTCCTTGAGTAAATCTGCTGGATTGGCAAGAGCTCTGCTAGACTTGTATTGCCCTCTCATGTTACTTGGATGCTGGAATTTGTGCCCTCCAGAGGAAGCAAGGACACATTCACCTACTTCTTAGTGTCACAGACCTGTGGGGAGGAGCACAGTTACCCTGGCACATGTGGAAAACATTGAGAAGAAACATTTGCCCCATTCCTAAGGAGCTGCATCCCCATGCCAGCTGCATTCCCTTTATCTCTGAGCTGAAGGCTCTTTCTTTTCTCTTCCAGAGCACCCAGCAGCAACATTTGGCCTAGAGAATTCCACCAGCTTTGCCTCTTTCAGCCTTTCTGACAGCCTTGGTGCAGACTTCAACCTCTCCTTTTTCCTGCGGAGCCGGAAGCCCGATGGTTTGTTACTGCAGGTCTGCAATGGGACAGGCCCCTGCCTCACCCTGTACCTGAGGGATGGCCAGCTGAGCATAGAGACATCACCTACGGACACTCTGATCTTTCCAGGGAATCTGGTTGATGGGAGAAGACACTTGGTAGCCCTGTCTTTCCAGGGAGGGTCTGTTGGTGCTCTGCAGTCAGACACATTTGTGGAGCTGGGCCAGCTGCCAGCACAAGCCCTGGGAGCTGGCTCTGAGGTGTTTATTGGGGGACACCCCAACCCCGACAGCGCTGAGCTGTGGGGGGGCTATTTCAAGGGCTGTTTGCAGGACATGCAACTCAACAGCCACCAGGTACAGTTTTTCCAGGTGGAGAATGACAGTTTGCCAGAGGAACTCAATAGGACTCAAACTGGAAATCTTGTGAATGGCTGCATCTCTGATGACACCTGCAAGGTATGTGCTGTGTCTTGTCTCTGTGTGTGCAGGGGTCACTACCCTTACACAAAAGTCTGGCTGTTGCTGATACCAGAAAGAGGTTTTTTTATGTATTGAAGAACACATGCTTCTCTGTGCTCCCACCTCACTCAATATGCTACATATAATTTAAACACTGACTTTTCTTAAGCTCCCCTGTAGTTTTTGTGGTTTTAGAACTTGGGCAGTGGCTTTTGTGCTGCCCACACAGGTTCCAGACTCCACTCCCTAACCTGTAACCTGCCAGCACTTCCCTTCATCCTGTTTGAATTGTGCAACAGCCTCTTCCCCAAGAATCTGCCACTTCAACAGCAGAAGCTGAAGGAGCTGTCTCCATGTGCCCTTGGATCAGAGCCTGGCTCTCTGTGCCACACCCGGTGATGGGGAGGCCATACCCCCTAATCTTGTTCTTGCTTATGGTGCTCTGAAGTATTGTCACACCTGTGACACCTGTGGGGTGTTATAGGGGTGTCCTTCTGCTGACAGAACTTTGTGAGCTTCTTGGGAGCAGCACACTTTGTTTCATCTGTTCCTCACCTGTGCTTTTGTGCCTTGCTCTTTGCCAAATCGCTGGAGTTCCTGTTGGTCAGTGCTGTGCACAGGAGGGAGCAGGGGCTCAGGAATCTCTTGTACAGAGAGCCTTGGCCTTCCCTCACTGCTCTTGAGTCACTGTTCATTTCCCTCCTCTCTTGATTCAAATGTGGCTTGTGCTCATCTTCATTGTCACAGTTCTACCAAACTCTCTTAGACCTCAAGATGAATTACTCTGCCCCTAAATTCCCCTGTTTTGTTTTTCAGTCTGAGCCATGTCAGAATGGTGGCAGATGCATTGTCACTTGGAATGATTTCCATTGCAGCTGTTCAGCAAATTTCACTGGGAAATTTTGTGAAGAGAAAGTCTGGTGTGAAAGTGACCCATGTCCTGAAGCCACCACCTGCATAGATGTTGTGGCAGGATATGTGTGTAAGTTCTGTTCTCCTGCTTGTGTGTTGGGAAAATTCCCCCATTCCTTGTCTATTCCAGGGATATTTCCAGTTTGTGCTGTTGGCAGCAATGCAAACACATGCTGCAAGGACACGGAGTGGTGCCAGGCACTGCTGCAGGCAGCATGGGCTCTGTGGGCTTGCCCCAGGTGTGACAGAGCACAGCTGAGCAGTAAAAATTGCTGCCTAAGAGCTGGATATTATTACAGGAGGTGCACTTGTAAACAGGAAGAGCTTTAAGGCTGCCAGCAGCTCGCCTGTAATCCTGCTCATGCTAAGCTTAGGGGTTCTTAGGGAGAGAACCTGCCAGGGGTGTGCATTGGACTGGCTCAAACCGGGCACCAACTGTCTTTGAAATCCCTTATGCTCTCCCCCTTTATTTATAGGTCTGGCTAATGCAACATTTAATGGTCATGCTGCCATAGAATTTACTGCCAACACATCTGCGACCAGAACTCTGAGCAGCCTCCACGTGGACTTCAGAACCAGAGACGAAGATGCTGTTTTGCTTCGGGCTGTGGAAGAGGTGGATTCCCTCCAGGTAGCCATTAAGAATTCCTCCCTCCTTGTTGACATCAGGAGTGGGAACAGCATCGAGGGTGTCAGCTTCCTGAGCCCGCAGCCTGTTGCGGACGGGGCCTGGCACAGCGTCTCCGTGTCCATGGAGGAGCCGGCCGCGCTCTCTTCCCGGTGGCTGCTCCGCTTGGACGGCTCAGCGAACGCGACTCTGCAGGGAAGCGCCGGCAACTTGGACTTCCTCAAGAAAGACGCGCTGGTCGTTTTGGCCGAGAATTTCACCGGCTGCCTGGGCCGGGTGCAGATCGGGGGGATCTTCCTGCCCTTCCCGGCCCACCGGCCGTACCCTCAGCCCGAGCAGTTCCAGCAGGCCGGCCCGGGCAGCGTCCGGCTGGGCTGCTCCGGGGCCGACGTGTGCGCCTCCGGCCCCTGCCTCAACGCTGGCACCTGCGAGGATCTGTTCAACTCCTTCCGCTGCGGCTGCAGCGCGGGCTGGGCGGGGCAGCGCTGCGAGGCCAACATCGACGACTGCCAGCCCAGCCCCTGCGTCCACGGGGACTGCGTGGATGCCGTGGCAGACTTCCAGTGCGAGTGCTTCCGGGGCTTCATCGGGAAGAGGTGTGACATCAACGTGGACGACTGCGTGCGGCACCAGTGCCTGAACGGAGCCACCTGCGTCGACGGCGTCTACGGATACTCCTGCAAATGCCCCCCTCAGTACTCCGGACCTCGCTGCGAGTAAGTGCTGGGCCTGCCTTGCTACAGGGGGCACAGGAGCCTCCAGATAAATGGGACTTTTACTTTGGGAACATTTTTCATTGCAAGCATCTCATAGGTAAAGAACCTAAATTCTGCTGTGACAGGGAGGCACTGGGGGCTGAGGGCTGTGAAGTGCAGCAGCGTCCTACTGGAAGCTCTGAAGGTGCTGGCTGGTTCCAAACCCTCACTGCCAGGGGCTCAGCCTTGTACAGGAGAAGGATCCTTCCTTTTGATGTGGGTTATCTCATTTCAGAGCTGTTTGAAGGGCATATACTATGGCCTTTTGTCATTTGCCTCTAGCACTCCTCAAGACATCCATCCTTCTCTGTGACTTGATTCCCCTCTGCCATATTCCTATGCTGATTTAAACAAAACATCTTGTGCCAGTTCAAATGGAACACAGAGTTAAACACTGACATGGTCAGTTAATTCATCTATCCAGGATGATTTTCCTGTTCCTGCTGCATTCTGGTGCAGACTGTTACCTGGTACTGGCATTATCCTTCCTGGGGCCTGGCTGTACCATTCCAGCACTGTCCTGTCCCTGCCTATATTTTCATTAGCAAGAACAGGCCTGTCTGAGAAAAGTCTGAGTAGTGACAGAGCTCCTGTCTGTTCCCTGGGCATGATCCAAGGAATACTCTTGATTTCTGAGATGATTCCCTTTTTCACTTGTGTCAAACTCCTTCCTATGACTCCTTCCAATGACTGTGTTTATGACCCTTGCCAGCCCCAGACCACTCTGCCCTTCCCCAAAACCTGAGTGCTCTAAAGGCTGTCCCTTGCTGTCCCCAGGTGGCCGTTCCCCCCTCAGCAGTGTGGCAAGAACTTCACCTGCCTGAACGGTGGTCGGTGCATCACAGAGAGCTGGGGAGCCAACTGCTCCTGCAGGCCCGGCTTCACTGGGAGGAAGTAAGTGCTGCTTTGGGTTCCAGTGCTCCAGTCCTGATCTCGGTGGTGGCAGAGCAGGGCCACTGCTTCACCCTCCTCCATGTCCTTGTGCCAGGCAGCTGCTCCTAATGGGAACACGAGCTGTTGCTTGGAGCAGAGAGAGGCTTCAGATCATCCAGCTGCCAACACCAGTTTTTTGCAGTGAGAACTGCTTCCAAGTCTTTTCAAGCACATTACCTGTGCTGGCCTCAGTCCCATAGAAATCACAACAAGAGGGTTGGTGTGAACAGGGGAGAATTTCATATTGCTTGACTGTGGGGAAAGTACTGGAGAAGCTGCAATGGGTGCTTTTCAAACAAAAGAGGTTTTTTTTGACTGGATGACCTTGTGTTCTATGGCACAAGAATATATATGACAATTCCAACACACTCTTCCTTTCCAGCTGTCAAATCAACATAAACGAGTGCGACCCGAACCCGTGCCAGAACGGGGGCACGTGCCAGGACTCTGAGAACAGATACGAGTGCGTGTGCAGCGCCAGCTACACCGGCGAGCGCTGCGACATCAACGTAAGCACTGCCCTGCCCGTCCCTCCACTCTCACCAGGGGCCTCTGGGCTCTGCTGGGGCTCTTCCTGCTCCTGTCCTGCCTAAAGCACACCTGGGCAATCCTAAATGGTTTTTTCTCTGCAGTGCTGCTGCTTATTGATCTCCAGCATATAAACAACTGCAGGAAATGCTCCTCAGTATCTGCATGTGCTGCCATATGGCTTTTGGGGCTGTCTCTGCACATTTCCATAGATTTCACAACTCTTTAGACAGTAATCCAACTCCTGCATTTGACCCAGGTTCCTGGAGAGTGGAATTTGGTGTTTTATCTTGGATAAGAGTTACTAAACACCTTCCCTCTCTAAAGATCATCTGAGTAGAAATGGATGTTTGGAGAAGGGAGGTTGGATAAAGTCAGGCCAGTGTGGTTCAGGTGTGTGTGAAACAGCCAAGTCCTGTCCCTGAGCTGCCACTACCCCGGCCCAGCTGAGCTGTCCCCGTGTGCATAATCCCACTGTTTGGGGTGGGGCTGGGATCCTTCCTGGGGGGAGATGGGATCCATCCCCTGCTTTCTCTGGGAAGCTGTTGCATGGACAGGCAGCTTGTTGGGTAACCTGGGAATGTACTAACCCATCCTGCATGGAAAGGGCTGTGTGCCAGGCGGGGTTTGCTGCTGTTGCTGTTACCCAGGGCTCTAATGCATGTGCCAAGGTCACCCTGACATTTCCAGATTGCATGCACAGACTCCTTCAGGCATCTCTATCTCCTCTGCCCCAGGACACTTCTTGTGGATTCCCTGTATTCATTTTCATCACCCTCCCCTTGCTTTTCTTCGCTCTTTCCTTTACCTCCTGCGCAGCCAGGCCCTTGGTGGGGCAGAGAGGTGCTGGGGATGGTGCTCGGTGCCACCAGGGACAGCTGGAGCTCAGCTGAGCTCCCTTTGCTCTCTCCTCCCCCAGCAGCAGCTCCAGGGGCTGCCCTGCTGGGCCCTTGTGGTGCTGGACTAACCCGCATGGTCTGGAATTAACCCCGCACGGCGCTCAGGCTTGGACGGGCTCAGGGAATGCACCTGGACTTCAGGTGTTTGAAAAGGGCAGAAGGACTTCCAGATACCCTGAAAATGTTCTTTCTTTGCTCTGTGACATGAGCACAGACTGAATGGCATCCAAAAACTGTAAATAATCCAGCCCGAATTATTTTGGTTTTAGCTGTAAGGTGGCTGATACCATTGTTAACAATAAGAAGTATTTTAAAGCTTATTGTAATTTTAAAGCTTTGTTTCATGACAAAAGTTCCACAGTTGTTTATGTTGTTGTCTTCCATTCCATCCTTGATTCCACCAGAATCTAGGGAATTCTTATTTCTCTTCTCAGTACTTGGGCTTTTTATCATCTCCATCTCCCATGCATGTCCTGACCTCTTCAACATCTTCCCCTTCCTGCCGCAAGTTCTGCAATTCTGTTTTACAATTTAACAGCTTAATCAATTCTCTGCTTCACCATTACAGGGATCATTGAACTTTTTTTTAGTATCATTCCCCTGCCTGGGGAAATTCTTTGGGGTTACTGAAAATTCACATTACTCTGCATTAACTTTAAAGTTGGTGTTTTTTTTATATTTTTATTTATATATTTTTTGCAACATTGGTCAACATTGGTGCAACTTTGCCAGTGCCACCTGTGTAATTTGCGTCTGATATTGATAAGAAGGCACCTTTAAAGACTCCCACTGTAGATGCTGAGCAAACTGGCATTTACATCTTAAGGGGCTGCCTTGCTGTGAAAAAGTGCTTTTTTTTTGCTTTTCTAAAAACTTTTTTCCCTCTAATCTGACCATTTAGGTCAGTTATTGCAATTACTGTAACCACTGGAGTTTCATTGTTTCTCCGTTAATTTCTTTTACAGAAAGGGACTCCAGGTGCTCTCTTCCCCTCCCCACTAATTGAAGTAGCTGTCCCTGTAGCCTGTGGCTCTGTGCTGCTCCTCAGTATTGGTCTCATATTCATGGTTCTCACGGCAAGGAAGAGGCGCCAGTCCGAGGGGACCTACAGCCCGAGCCAGCAGGAGGTGGCAGGAGCTCGGCTGGAGATGGACAGTGTCCTAAAGGTGCCACCCGAAGAGCGCCTGATCTAGGCCCTGCCGTGCCCAGGACCCGCACCTGCAAGGTCTGCCCGGACCTTGGGCTCTCTCAGCCTTGGCAGCGGCAGATCCACCCCATCCCAGTTCCCCTAAGGCCTGGGCACGAAGACAAGGACGTCCGGCACGGGCAGCGGGGCCGAGAGCGCCGCCCCAGCCGGGCCCGGCGCTGCTGCGCTCCAGGGGCTCCAAGGGAGCCTCCGCCCTCCCTCCTGCCCTGCCCCGGACCGGCCAGCGCTCATCTCAGCAGGAGCTCAAGTGGCTCTGGCTCCAGTCCCCTCCCAGGCAGGAGAGGCACATTAATTCTGCTTTCCAAGGCAGGGTGACCCGAGGCACCTGTGCAGGCTCAGCTCCCCGAGTCCTGCTCAGGAGCTGGGGAAGGTCGTGGCTGGTTTGTATATTCTGCTCTGGTTCTGTCAACAGCTGAAAAACATTCAAACTCTCAGCTCAGGTGTGTGAGGTTTTCAGAGTCCTCAACAGCAACAGCAGCTGTGACCTCCCTGTGACAGCCCTGCGTTACAGGGAATTGTCAGGAATGATCAAAACCCTTGTAAAAACCAGTGTTGAATGGCGTGGTGCTGTTAGACATTCCCATGGGTACCGTGCAGGGAAGGGGCAGGCAGCACTCCGGGGCTTTGGGCAGTGCTGGAGCTGCCAGATGCTGAACTTTGGGTGTGCAGGGAGGGGAGAGGGGAGCAGGAAAAGGGTCCCCAGCCTCCTGGGCATTCCCTGGGCTCCGCGGGGCAGGGAGGGGACAGGTGGGGGGAGCTCCTGCCCTGCTCGGTAACTCCCTGTTCTGCCGCAGCAGCGAGTGTGGGCGCACCTCAGCCACTCCTCCGTGGTGGGAGCAGTCGGGGCTGCGGGGGCTGCCCTGCTCCTCGCCGTGCTCGTAGCCACGGCGATTGCCATGAAGAGGAGGAGAGCGACTCAGGGAACCTACAGCCCGAGCCGGCAGGAGAAGGACGGGGCCCGAGTGGAGATGTGGAACGTGATCAAGATGCCCCCGACCGAGCGGCTGATCTGAGGCCGGGTCAGGCGCGGAGCGGCCGCAGGCGCTGCCCGGGGGTGCCTGGGCTGCTGCACGGCCCCGGCACTGCCCGCTGGCCCTGCCCCTGCAGCTCATCCACAAAGCGTTCCTACAAACTGCCCGGGAGGAAATCCCCACTGCGGAGGACCAGGGGAGGAGGGGAGGGAGCAGTGGCTGTGGCACAGGGGGGACACGGACAGAAGATGGGGCGGTGTCATAGCCAGAGCCGGCTGGGCCCCTGCTCCTGCAGGCAACAGGAAAACCACCCTGAGGCAGGCCCAGAGAACGGGAATTAAACCACCGTATTCAGAAATAATGTGAATAATAAGGTTTTTTTCAAGAAGACACGTGCCTGTGGCTCCTCTGCACGGCTAAGCCAGGTGAGTGAGTGGTGGGAAATCCTTCCCAGAGCTGCTGCCACCCTTCCAGCTGGGCCAGAGCTGGCATGGCCTCACTGGGCCGTGCTGGATGTGGCTGCTGGAGCTTTCCCTGAGACTAGCCCAAACCACAGGAATATTTTAAGTGCCTTTCTGATCCTGAGGTGCCAGTTCCAGTTTAACCTTTGTGAAAGGAGGACGTTTCCATGTTGTTTGATCCGGCTCTGCCACTCCTGGAGCAGGGGCTTGGAGCTGACCCTTGTGAGAGCCAGGGGCTGAGCATCAGGTGGTACTTGCTGGGGTGAGGAGGGAAGAATGGAGAGTTCTAAAAGTGACCTCTGGACTGCCAGGTTTGGGCTTGTTGGTGTGGAAGAGTGGAATTTAGTTAACTAATCCTTTAACCCAAACCAGGGTTGGTGTAAGTGACACAGCATCTACTTTCCACTGCACTAAAAAGAGGTTTGATTTTGTGGCTTCACTTCTGTGTTACTGTTTTAGCTGTGGAATGTGCTGTTTCCTCTTTAGCATAATGTGGCAGAGGCTATGGAAGGAAATGCAGCACAGCAGGCCAGGTAAGGTCTAAAGCCATTAGTGTTTCAGGATAATCACTACAATTATCAATGAGGATTTTAGAACTCTGTCAGCTTTTTAATCTCCAAAATACTATTAAAAATCAGGGTGGGAATCTGCCTGCTGTAGCTCATTGCCACAGGAAAATACTTTATTCTGGTCTGCTTTTGGATTTATTTTTTTTCTACTGTAGCTGTAAATGTTTCTGTAATTCCAAGCAAAGGGAGGGGCATGGAACTACTGCTCACATGTGTCCATTTAAGAACAGTGTGTGTAAGAACAGGTCTCTGCAGCAGGCAGCTGCTGACAGAAGAATGAAAATTTTAGAAAATAGAAAAAGACAAAGGAGTGGGAGACAATATTTCAGATCACTTTCCCTCTGGTAGTGGAGAAGAGTGGAAGGTGTGATCCCAGCTGGCTGTGTGGGGGAGGCAGCTGGAGCTGGCAGTGCCAGAGAGGCCCTGGCTGCAGGTGGGAGCCCGTGGCTGCTTTCCTGTTCAGCAACAGTGACTGCTGGTGCTGTTCCTGGCACTGGTTTGCTGCTCTTGGGGAGCTCTGGCACACTTTGGGAACAGAGCCAGTGGCACTGCCCGGTGCCCTTGTGCCAGCAGGGCTTTCCTGTGGCTCTGCAGCAGAGCTGGGCCTGCCCCACGCTGGGGGCTCCTGGCAGGAGCAGGGCTGGGCACAGGCCTGGGGGCCCCTGTGCTGCCAGGCAAAGCCCCTGTGGTTTCCTGAAGCCCAGGGCGTGCAAAAACCTCCTGGGGGCTCGGGGGGCTCTGCCACCTCCACCCCGGTGCCCCAGGGCAGGTCCTGCTGCTGCTTTTTCGCTCCACTCCCCATTGGTGTTTACACTGTACAGAACTGAGGCTGCAGCAGGATCTGGAAGAGCCCCCGTTCCTCCAGCCCTGGGGTGCTGAACACCAGGCCGTGTTCCCAGAGCTCCCCGAGCTGCTCCTGCACTTCCCTGGAAGGTCCAAATCCCTGGAGCCCCCGGCAGGTCCGGCCGTGCCCCGGCAGCAGCTCCTCGGGGCTGCGTTCCAAGCACCCAAAGCCAGTATTAGCAAAGGTGTTTAAAAACTCTGTCAGTGTCTTGAGCATTTCTGCAAAATAATTTATGGAAGGTGGTTGTTTTTGTTTTTTCAATAATGAATTTAACTTCCTTTTGATATTTAATTTTTGAATATATTTTTTCACAAAACTGGACTTGCTGTAGTTAATGATCATGATCCTGATTTCTTTTTTAATTGTAAATTTTATAATTTGTAAATAATTAGAATGTCCTTCAAAAGAAATTTACAGTAAAATTTGGTTAAAAACAGACCTGGTTGTTGACTTGTGCATGTTTTTCCCCAAGAACACCTTGCTGGTCTGGATGGCTGATCATGGTCTGTGCCACAGCCCCTGCACAGCTGCAAACCTTGAAGGCTCTTCACAGTTAAAGGATTCATTTTGTGATGATTTGTCACAGCCCAGAGCCCTGAGCACAGGCCAGGGTGCAGGGCTTTGCCCAGCAGCAGGACAGAGCTGAGGAAACACCTCTGCTCTCTGTTCACCTCACTGAGCTGCATTTTACCCTTAATCCCTGACTTTATGGGCAGGAAAGAGACTGGAATGTGGGAAAAAGGGACTCTGTGTCCAATGACTGCACTGTCCATGTGCAGTGAACTGAAGGCTCCACCCAGGGTGAACAAGATACAAAAGTGGTTTCACCTCCTGTGCAGCAGCAGATGCACCACAAACTTTGAAAAGGTTTTTCTTGTCTGTTTTTAAAATAAACTTATTTCTTATAGCAGGAAGCAGCTGTAAATAAGCAGAGTGGTATCAAACATAGGGTGGGTACAGGAACATGGACAAAGTCAAGTATAAAGTCACTGATGAGTAAGACCAGGAACAGTTTTTATACTGGATCAATAAAAACATCCAAATGCCTTCTAGTGCCAAAACCAGAGCTGGCAAGCAAACTGTTGACACCTGGCACTATCAGGAATGAATCATGTCAGGCATTCCTGAGTTTAAATAAGACAAAAAACATCCCTAAATGCTGTCCTAGGCATAGTTCAATTCCTACGTTACAATAAACCCCTAGAAAAGTCTCCTGCTTGCAAACCCTCTCCAGAAGTGAGGGAAGTCACAAATTCCTTGTCCTCCAGCATCTCAGAGGTGCTAAATAAAGTAGAGGGTGAATAAATGTGTGTTAGTACTCCTCAGTGCCCCAAAACTGACTTAGCAAATGATCTATAATATGGGCAAAGTAACCAGAGATGGAAATGAACTGCAGTGGGACAGAATTTCCTGAGTGGTTTAAAGCACTGTGATGGGTTGTCTGATCACTGTGACATTACTGAGTTTAAACAGGGCCTGTGGAGCCCAGCTTGGCACAGGCTGGATTGTGCAGTGCCCGTTCACATCCAGCTCATAGCAAAGGAGCTCTGCAATGCCAGACTGAATTATATATAACATTCTTACTCTGAACTGTATCAAATAAAATGGACCTGGTATCTTAGACTTTAAATATTTTACTATTCAATACTAAACCCATCTGTCTTTCAACACAAAAAGAAAATACAAATCCAAGTGAATGGCTTGTCAGAGGAACAGCACTGTACAGAAACAGAATATTCCTGGAATACTGTGGTCTTCCCAAAACCGGCAGCATTTCAGATATTACTTTTCTTTTGTACTGCCCAGCCTCGAACACAGAGACAGCCATTCCCATTCCCCAGAGTAAGAAAACTTCCAAGATAACATGAATAAAATAGATACATTGGAAATCAGATAAAGCTTTACAAGAATTTCCCCATGTGTCCAAGATGATTTCCTTTATCAAAGGCTCAATGGTGATGTAATTCCCTCTGCAAGAGTGACAGGTTTTACACCAGAGTGTGCCCCGATACAAAACAAACCAAAAAAGCACCACTGAAGTGAAACAGAAATGATCAGAGACAGCAGCTGTCCTGGGGGATGCTGAGGCTCGTGTGAAGTGTCTGGAGAACACAGAGAGGGGGCTCAGAACACCCAGCTGAGCGTCCCCTGCGCTCCTCGTGGGCCAGACAGGGCCAGCCCGAGGCTCCAGCGAGGCCACAGAGCCCAGATCCCCCTTCCTGGCCATGCCCTGCCCTCAGCCCCT